CTGTTTATTAACTTTTGTATTTTCTTTTATTTCATCTATTATTTTTAAATACTTTCATATTTATCTATTATTTTTTATCTTTATTTTAGTTTAGTATAATCTGTTAATTTTCTAACAGTAATTTCACTCTATTTGGTTAAATTAAATTTAAAATTAAAGGCATCAACTTGTTGGGTACAAGTTTTCAAATTAATAACAAATTTTATTTTATTTTTTTAATTTTAATTCATTTTTCTTTAAAATTTCAACAACCAAATTAAGTGAAAATCAACAATAAAAGCATTACTAGAAGAAACTCTAAATTAATAACCTATAGTCAAATTTTAATTTTAGTACATATATTATTTTTTTTTAATTTTTAAACGGACAATGATACATTTACTTTCTCACATTACACATTCTGTTACATATGATAGTCTCCATTATGCACATGGATGGTCTCCATTAACCAACACTTTTCTTCTCTCTCTCCTTTCCTTTCTCCTCAAGCTTGTTTGCTCCTTTGAAATTCCTAGTAGGTAGCTATGGCCTAGAACCCAAGATCAAAACTGCACTGATCTCCAATTTCTATGATTGTCCTTCCTCGGCCTCCATTTTTTCTAAAACTACCACACCAAGATCTGCCACTGACCCTATTTTTGCCTTAATTCCGTCCTCACCCAAGTCGGAAAAGCTAAGGTTGGAGCCTCTTGGGTTTTGTAGGTTTTCTAGTTTTGGGGATTTTTAGATTTGGGTTTTGAGGGGTAGAGCTAGCAATAAAACAAAATGGTAGAAATGAATGGATTTAAGTAGAATTTGACTGAAGAACAAAAAGAGGAAATCCTTTCCATATTCATTTATCTTGAAATTTTTTGCAATTGCAAGCTAGGATTCTGGCTCTTAATACATCATATTTTCTAAATGAAAGAGGTCATTGTTTTATTTCAATTAAGATTTGTGTTCATAATTTATTATTTAGATGAGTAGAACAACCCTAGAATCCCATGTTGGAAGATTGATTTTAACTGGGTCTGAGTGTTTGGTTTCAAGCAACTCAATAGACTCGACTGTCGCAGCGGAGGATGTGTTCTCCAAGGATTTGAATAAGTTGGTGCACTTGCAGTTTTGGCCAGAAGAACAAGTTACTCTTGAGCCATTCGAGGATGGGAAGGAGAAGATCCTTTCCTAATTTAAAACAAATTTTTTGATTTTATTTTGCATTTTCTTTTATTTCTTGTAAATTGCTGGAAATGTCTTTTTGATTCTTTGTGAGTTATTGGAAATGTCTAATGGGTTGTCCAAAACAGATGGATTGTTGACAGCATCAAGCAACGTCGAGCACTTTTTTGGGTTGGATGTTTGTTTCTTACATTAATGGTAGCAAGATTAAGAAACCCAACAGTCTTTAGAGTCGAAGAAGATGGAGAAGTTTAATGATTGGGTGCGAAATGAAGACCATCAGTGTGCGTAACAGAGACCATAAGTGTGTGATGAGGTGTGTAATGTGACAGGGTACATATATCATTTTTCTTTTTAAATATTATATTTATTATTTAAAAATTTAAATTATTCTCATTTAACTCTTTATCAACTTTTCATAATTAACAACTCTAACACTATAATTTATAATAATTTTATTATAACCACTATTTCAAGGATGGGGAGAATATTATTACTTAATTAAATGTTTTGCGAAAGATGAAAATATTATAATATAAATAAATAAATTTCCTTTATATTAAACAAATTAGGAATTGAGATATATTCTTAATTAAACACCAACATAGAGTTTTAAGATTTTGAATTCTTTTAGGATTACGTTTTTTAATTTTTCTCTTTCCTTTTAGAAAGTGATTTGATTAACAAAAACTTTAATTGATGTTAAAAAAAAATTTTAAGAAAACAAAAAATATATAGATATAAAAATATAAATTTTACCATTTTTTCTATGAAATGATACAAACATTTTGAATTTTTAAAACAAGCAATAAATTTTTATTTTTTCTATTAAAAATACAAAATTTTCTAGTTTTTTTATTTAAAAACTTATTGGATGGCAATAATGACATGACCAAAGGCAATCTTAATCGAAATATGGTAAAGTTTTTATTATTATATTAAAAAAATGGCAAAATTCATATTCTTATATGAAAAAAAAAAAACATTTACCGCTTAATTAAGAAACTCAAAATATTTATATCCTTAAATAAAAAAAAAAAAGAGTTTATATCCTTATCTAAACCTTTAAAAAAAAATAGTTGACTTGTGATTTCTTAATTTGAAATTCTATTTCTTTTTATGAGCTAACAAAATTCATATTTATCAATATTAATGGAATATAAGGATACTCTTGCCCACAAAACATAATACATATGTCCAAGCACAGCTTAACCAAGTTGCAAAGTCACCATTACAATCTTTTGGCTTTATGGTAAACTTTAGCAGCCTTTTTGTGTTGCAGCATTTCCTTAACACACACTCGGTTCGGAACACCATTCGTGAACGTTCAAAAAGCAACATCGAATTTTTCCTTTAAGCCACTCAAATATCTTTCTCTGAGTTAGCTCCACAATTGTATCACCCGATCCCTCCTCATTTTTAAAAATTCTTCTATTCCTCCATCCCCCAAATATACCAAGTCACCACCAAAAAATTTGCAAGCCCTATTTCCTTTCCACAACCCGCCCCCACATGAGAAATATATTCAGCCATATATCCTACGGTACCCGGTAACACACCCACTGCACCTCACCATTTCATGACATTCATCCAAATCAACCAACTCCATCTATCTGAGCATATTAAATGATTAATCCCATCTAACTCCAGATTACACAACAGGCATCCAAGATCCACATCTTGTAATACAATGCCCCACTTAGCCGAATTCCTTTTTTTAGCAAATCTATCAAAAAATAGTCTCCACCCAATTATACTAGCCTTTGATGGAACATATATATTTACACCAAATCAATCTACACAAATTTCCATCTAATAAACATAACTCAGATGATAACATGTTATATGCCTTTTTTCACTGAAGATTCACCTCCTACATTAAGTTTCCATCCCCACACATCCGCCCCACCCTCCTTTAATCTCACATTTTCTAGCAACACCATTAACTCATTCTCTTCACTCACCCTGCTCCCCATCCGAGCCCTCCTACATTTGGACTTCCAGACCCAAGTATCACCCTCCCATTCACCCATCTCCCTCACCTTCCCATTTTTAAGACATGACGATGCAAATGACTAAGGAAATACATCTTTTAAAGGCCTACGCCCAACCGATTTATCCAACCAAAATAGAATCCTCTCCCCTTGATTTGAAAGTTTATGAATGACGGTGACAAATCTCATCCATTTACAGTGGAAAGATGAATAATTCACATTTTAAATAATTAATGTGAGTAAATAAATCCTAACTTATAACCAATTTATACTTTTATCAATTTAACCATTAATTATTGAAAACCTCTTCCCAACATAATTACCTTTTTTAAATTGCAATGATATAATTACAATCTTATATATAATTGTAAGTTTATAATTATAACATAAACTATTAACATTGGTTTAAGTAGTTAATGAGTCATTCGAATCACACTAAAAATGTTGGTTTCAATCACTTTAATTTCATTTGGGTGCCAACAATACCAATGAATTATACCCAATACGCTAGGTGGGGAGCCTTAACCTATATCTGTTAATAAAATAATTTGTAAATATCATTGAGAAATGGGTATCATGGGAATGGATTTGCAACCATGGGAGCCACCGGAATTTGCACTTGGAAATGCAACGTAGGACTGGTACCTTGTGCATATGTTTAGGAAAAAATATTTTGCAGTTGGAACTATACAACAATATTAACCGCCCGAGTTGATAATGTTTCAGTTTCGCATGTAGCTAATGTTCTTGTTAGTATCTTAATGTTCTTTTTCTTTAATTGGCTTGACTACAGAGTGGAATTCAGCATGTCTTGAATCCAGATCCATATAGAGGTGACTTTGGTTCAGATGGGAAGAGGTATGCAAAAGACGTAGTACAACTGATCCAGTATGGAACCTCCGCCCATATTGCTGGTTTCTTTGTTGAACCCATACAGGTCATGTTGTTCCTCGTAAAATAAATAGAAAAAAAAATAGACAGAAGATTTGCAAAAAACAATTAATTAAATATGAAAATAAAAAGTAGAAAGATGTCACTGAAAGTACGAGGAGATTGAGTTGAGGCGTGGAACAATCACTCTCTTTAGGACGTTTCGTGCCACTGGTGCAGTAGATTTTTATGGTCACGCCGCCCCCAGAATACAACAGCCCAATCTCCTTGTTGTATCTTTACAAGTACTGCACTCTTGTAAAGAAAGCCCTATCCCACCACGTTTTCCTTTGCCCAAAGAAAGTTTTTTTTTTTTTTTTTGGAATAAAAGTGTAGAATGCAGAAAAAAGTATTAGCATTTGGTAGGCATGGAGGCTGCCTATATATAGGCCTTCACAATGTAACCGAAGGAGACAAAATATTAAATTTGAATTAATGTTTTTTCTGGTTATCAAAATAATATTTGAAACTGATGAACTAACATATTGCTTTAAGCCATTTGAAAAGGTGAAACGCATGGGTCCTCTCAATAAGACAAAAATGCATGGATTCTTTCTTCAAAACAAAAACGCATGGATTCAAGAAACCGATGAAGCTGAAAAAATTCTTTAAATAAATGGCTGTTATCGTTTGATCAAAATAAAGCGCATGGATCTCCTTTGAAATAGCTAAGTAAATATAAATTGGCTGATTCAAAAATATAGGCTGTAACTAATGAGCTACTTGACAAATTTAAGTTTTGAAAGCAATGGATTTGTAACGGACTGGGCATAAACGGTTTGCTATTTTTTTAAAAATTAAAATATATAACATTCCCCCTCCATTTTAATTAAAAATAAGAACTTTAGAAGATAAGGAATTTATAGGCAAGAATGGATTATTATGCATAATAGAGGTAGCAATGTCTTGAACCTCTACTTAGTGAGTCAATGATTCCTATCCCAAAGTCACTAGTGAGCAAAGTCTTGAACTAGGACTACTTAGAGGATATAGGAGACCATGTTACACACATTATAATCCAAGTGTTAATTTGAGCTTGTAAGCCGGCACATTACAGCCTTTGTGCCTAATCTTGTATTCATGGATGATCTAGAGAATAGCCTTATTCTCATAGGAGCGGCCCCACTCTGACATCCATATAGGTGAAATTTGTCAAGGGTACTCCCATAACTAAGACACCCCACTTAATAAGCTACAAATTTCATTAAGAGTGTATAACACTCAACCCTCACATACGTTATGGGATAGATGCATCTACATCTTGGGAATGGAATTCTTTTTTTTTTTTACGCATCTTTCAACAACGACCTCTCTATGATTCATTTTTCCCATTCGAAACCCAAATTCTCAAGAATTGGGTTGGGTATCCTCATAGGAAGTTCCACATTCTTTGGGCTTCAATCTCATTCTCCTCGATGAACACTAGATCTTGGACTATGATCATAGATTTTCCTCCAACTTTTGTTTTTGCCAAAGGCCTAATTGGTGGTATAGTGGGTTAAAAGAGATTCAACTCATTCTTTTTATCACTTTTTCACATCAACCCACATGTCTACTAGCTCATAAAATTCACATTCATATTTATCAAATTTTCAATTCATGGTACTACAATTTTTTTTTTATATCAAATTGAGCTAGTGAACCACCATTTTCTTTTCATATATGTCAAAACATGTATTTAAGAATTTTTAATTCAAACACCATTGTACCTTGTTGTACAATAGGAATGTCCATCACATACTCCTTTTCTCAAGATACTCCTTTTCTCAAGTGTCTTATTATTTTTTCATCATACACCATTATACTATAATTGTATAATAGGAATGCATATCACATTTATTTTGTTAAGCACCATTATACCTTATTGTATAATAGGAGTGCATATCATAGTTGCTTTCTTAAGCACCATTACACCTTATTGTATGATAGGAATGCTATTCAAAATCTCAATTAGGCATCATTGGTCTTATCACCAATAATAATATATAGCGATATCACAATCCCCCACATTGGGAGCATCTCAAATATGTGATTATCACATTTCTCAAATAATTGAGTTCACGAAGAAATTCATTTTGCTCACAAAATTTCATAAGAGCATATTAGCTCATCTCACATTTCATCGCCACAAAAGGCTCCTTGGTCACACAAGCTTAAAGGAAAAATTAGCTTACATTTCCAAAATATACCAACCCAAAGCCTTTTCCACTTTGGTTCTCAAAAGCTTTCACCACCATTTGTAGTTTGAGCATCTTGATTCCTTGCCTCCTCTTCAACTCGACTACGAGTTAAAGATTTTCCATGGTGATCTCCTTTTGCTTGTGACGCATCATATTTTGGAACTCCTTCCATGAAGGTGGCAACTTGTCGATAATGGCTACAACTTTGAGGTTGTCATCAATTCGTATGCCTTCAGACTGAAACTCATGAGCAACCATTTGTAACTCTCGAATTTGCGACACCACCAACTTGTCATCCACCATTTGGAAGCACAGCATCGGCTACCACCATACATCTTCACACCAGCCTCTTCAGTGTCATATTTTTTCTACAAAGCATCCCAAGTTTCCTTGGCAGTGGAGTAAGCTCTTTCATAGTAATTATAAAGCTCATCAGAAAGGCAATTAAGTAAAGAGTTGGGGCAACTATATTCATTTTTCTCCCACTTTTGGACTTTCTTCTTGTGAGATTTCTTTTCCTCAGCACTCATACCTTCGGTTGACAAATTAGTAGGATTTTCCTCATTGAGGACATATGCCAATTTTAACAAATTAAGATAATACAAAACTTTTCCTTTCCATCTTTTGAAATGCTCACCATTAAAACGGAAAGGCATGTTAGGATCATTAGCAAGCTTAACAAGTTTTTCACGAGGTAAACTCATTTTTTTTTAAAAGAATTTTTCTTTCGAAACGTCCTAAAATTGTTGTTCCTCGTAAAATAAATAGAAGAAAAAATAGACAGAAGATTTGCAAAAAACAATTAATTAAAAATGAAAATAAAAAGTAGAAAGATGTCACTGAAAGTATGAGGAAATTGAGTTGAGGCGTGGATCAATCACTCTCTTTAGGACGTTTCGTGCCACTAGTGCAGCAAATTTTTATGGTCACGTCGTCCCCATGATACAACAATCTAACCTCTTTGTTATATCTTTACAAGTATTGCACTCTTGTAAAAAAAGTTCTACCCCACCACCTTTTCCTTTGCCCAAAGAGAGTTTGTATACTGTGTTTTTTTTTTGGAATAAAAGTGTAGAACGCAGAAAAAAGTATCAGCATTTGGTAGGCATGGAGGCTGCCTATATATAGGCCTTCACAATGTAACTGAAGGAGACAAAATATTAAATTTGAATGAATGTTTTTTCCGATTATCAAAATAATATTTGAAACTAATGTACTAACATATTGCTTTAAGCCATTTGAAAAGCTGAAATGCATGGGTCCTCTCAATAAGACAAAAACGCATGGATTCGTTCTTCAAAACAAAAACGCATGGATTCAAGAAACCGATGAAGCTGAAAAAATTCTTTAAATAAATGGCTGTTGCCGTTTGATTAAAATAAAGCGCATGGATCTCCTTTGAAATAGCTAAGTAAATATAAATTGGCTAATTCAAAAATATAGGTTGTAACTGATGAGCTACTTGACAAATTTAAGTTTTGAAAGCAATGGATTTGTAACGGACTAGGCATAAACGGTTGGCTATTTTTTTTTTAATTAAAATATATAACAGGTCATCAATCTGGAATTTCCCTTTATTGATATTGTGGTATTGGACAAAATTGGTACATCTTTAGTTCAATATACTTCACATCACACTTATTAAAAAATTATTATTTTTAAATTTGAATTAAATGTAAAGAAAACTTACAACTGCATATTTAAACTTACAACTGCAGATTTTAATGAATGAACCGGTGGGAGTTGGTGGTTGTGTTGAATTGGATTGTGTGTCAATAGTTTCCCATTGGTATTATGTTCTTGGTAAGGCACCATTTTCTCAAATTCTTTCTATCTTTCAGATCACAGGGAACAGGTGGAATTGTAGAGTTGGCCCCGCCGTACTTACCCACTATATATGACATTGTAAGGAAACCAGGAGGTCTTTGCGTTGCAGATGAGCTTCAGTCTGGCTATGCTCACACAGGAAGTCATTTCTGAGTGTTTGAGTAACATGGTGTTATTCCTGATATCGTGTCCTTGGAAAAGGTTACTTTCCTATCTCTCTGTCTCTGGTTATGTAAAAGTCCTAGAATACACAATTTGTACATAAATATAGTTACGCACGAAAGATGGTAGAGACTAACACTGGAAATGTAACTTATCTCTGTATGTTGACTTGCTTTTCTTCTGTGTCGTGGATCAGGGCATTGGAAATGGGATTCCTCTTGGTGCTGTGGTAACCATTCCTGAGATTGCATAGGTCTTGGTTGAGCGATCATACTGTAACACATTTGGTGGGAATCCTTTATGTACTGCTGCTGGTTTGGCTGTTTTGAAAGTAATTGAGAAGGAAAAGCTTCAGGAGAATGCTTTTGTTATGGGATCCTACATGAAAGAGAGACTAAGAGTACTAAGGAAAAATATGACTGTAATCTTCGTTTCCTCTCCATTTTGTTCTGCATCAGACATTCTTTCTTGTGTGAAAGCCTAAATTAATGTAATTTTGCAATGCCCTTTTTTTTTCGAAGTGAGAAATTGCATCACCTTTTATGATTGCAGTTTTATAAACTGTCGTTACTTTTTCTGATTGTATTGTAGACTGATCGTTACATCACAGATCGCAAACTGAAGACTCCTGCACAGGAAGAAACTGTTCATATAATGGACCAGATGAAAGGTTAGGTGTTTCCAATCCCTATGATGACGATCTATGCTTTGAATCTTATCTTTATTTACTAACAAACCTCGTTTACAATTTCAGAACTTGGAGTGCTGATTGGAAAAGGTGGATATTTTGGAAATGTTTTCAGAACCCCTTCTTTGTGCTTCACTAAGGATGATGCAGGTAAGTTTTGCCTCTCAGTTGCGCTTT